AAAAAAAAAAAAAAAAAAAACCAAATAACAAAAACAACACTAAAACTTAAAAAACAGTTTATATCCTAAACAAACTCAGTCCAGCTCGTCATTCCTTTTTGAAAAGTATTATGGGCCCAAATAAGAGCCGAATGACAAATCTTCGATTTACTAATTTTCTCTCTTCGGTCTCACTTTTCTCAATTCACCCAGCCATCTATTCTACATCACTATGCCCATACATTAACGCGACTCACGTATTTCGTTCATCCCATACTCGTTATATACTTATACTATTTGACTGACTTGACCGTTGGAGTGTTTAAGGCTGTCTTTTCCATTGATCATGAATAGAATCGAGATTTGTTGGTCACTTCACATGTGTAGAAATCGAGGTCAACAAGTTGGATTAATATATTGAACTTGAATGTTACCTAAATCTAACAGTGTACCAGAGATCAAGAAATTTGTTCAATTTGAAAACTTAAAGTTCATGCAGGGGCGGAGCCAGACAATTTTTACCGTGGAGTCAAAAATTAAGGATGCTCTAGTGAAATTCGGGCGTTCCAATGGCAATAGACTTCAGTTATTAGCACTCGATCGTGCCTTGCCTTACACCCAAAATTTCTATTATGTCAAACACCGACATGACATATACACACGTTTTTCAAAAACTGAAGATGAATAAATACGATAAAATATAACTCGTTGAATAAATTGGAGCAGAAAATTTTCGAAAAAAAAAAATTATCTGATAATTTCCAATACATGAACAACAACGAACATGTTAGTCATTGCAATAAGTCGGTTGTATTTTTCAAGTGAAAGAAGAATATTGTCGTCAACGACAATGAATACTACAAGAAAATAACAAATTGCAACAACATATGCAAATATTTAGGGGTGGAGCCAGGAATATTGTTCAATGCAGATGAAATTTAATTGACGTCGGAGTTTTTGGGGGCTTGAAACTTCCATTAAATTTGGACCATTAAATTAAAGTATGCAATATGTATTCATATTTTTCTTAACTAACTAATCTATAAGCTTAAAACTCAATAAACTAATAAGTAAAATGAAATATTCAATCTCAAATAAAGTTCAACTATAAATTTAATGATTGTAAAAATATAAAACAATATTAGGACAAACGACATAGTTTATAAGACCAAATTGTTGAACAAAATTTGAATTTATATAATTTTTACACACACCACTTAATTGATTAAATAAACTTAATGGACTATTTCTTTCTATGCACTCTTTCTCTCACAAGTTCTAACAAAAAAAAAAAAAAACTCAAATTATTTGTGAGGTCATTTGACCTCATATGACCCCATGTGGATCCGTCCCCGAGTTCATGTGACTTTTTTTAATAAAAAAAAAAAAAATTATTTATTCGATACATATATGTTCAGATCAAGATATATGCTATTGAATAAGTTGGGTCGAGAATTATGCATTTTCAGTTCAAGAATTCGATACATATATCAACTTATTTCTTGACCTCCATCGAAAACGGATACTCTTCGTGAATAAATCATGTAGAGAATAGTATAAACATGTATGTATTAGTTTTATTTCTTTATTCGTGCTATTATTTTCTTATATTTAACAACTTTTTTTCTCTCTCTCTCTCATAAAGCATAAACACAAATCATAACCAAGAAATTAGTTTATAAGTTCTTTAGTGCGACAATACTGAAAAACTTTATCTTTGAGCAATGATTATAGAGACAAAATCCCCTTTATTATCATAAAAAAATTATATAAATTGGATTACAAGTTAATGATATCATTGTTCCACGTACTTCTTATATCTTATAGGTCCCAATCATATATTTGCTGAATGATTTCTCGTGGCATGTTTGGCTAAGCTTAAAACGTTTACTCATATGTTTAAAAAAAAGTCTTAAAATAAATAATATTTTAATAATGGAAATTATAAATAGATTACTTACTTTACGTACGCGAATATAAGAAAAAAGTTATTTAAACAATAAAATATTTAAAAATAACTTTACTTGTTTTTCAATAAGCTTAGCCAAACATGCTCTAAGCATTTGCCAGACAAAGCTGGATATTTATTAATTAATTATGAACTGAATGCTTTAATTAAGAAGTTCTTTTAAAAACTAGACTGATTAGTCAAACATTGTCAGCAAACAATTATTTTACCAGCTTTAACTAGTTAAAGAATAATGGCGTGACTTATTATACATAATTACTGAGCTATTAAAGTCATTTGCTTCAACTATCATTAACTTTTGTCCATCAGCAATTAAAGTTTTAAATTATATATTCACCGACTCATTGTTGAAAAGGGCTATTAAAATTTATATCCGCAGACTTTTAATTACCTTGACTTGCTCTCAGAGGTGCAAATGGAACTCATTCTTCCATCAATCCACGTGACATTCCATCATTAGACAATTAGAAAAAAAAATTATTTTTTCATCCAAATGTTTTCTGTCAACACACTTTCTGTCAACAAGGGTGGCAAAAAGTAATGTACAAATGACAAAATACATACTTTTATCTGCGCTAAACTTCTTATAAACAGTGGTGTCTAACTGTCTATCACGCACGTCAAAAGGAAAATAAAATTACATATGCTCTTATTCCGTTGCCAATAACATTCTCTAACTTGATAGTCAAAGTACTTTAAGTGACACATTACAACGATGCCAATCTCATTCCGACAACACGAGATCTATGTCATACACTATAAATTTCCAAATACATTTTACACACGTGTTAGACATATATTCAATTTACAAACAAATTCAAAAATTTAAGTTTGGGAGAATAGCAGTACAAAACATTTCATTTTGCTATATACTTAATTAAAACCTTTCATTTGTGTCACCTATGATACCAAACATTTCAAAAACTCGCACCTAGAGTTCAAATGAATGAAAAGTTTGAGTCAAATCTGCAACAAAATGAAAGTTTTGATACCGTGACTGCAATTCTCCCTCTAAGTTTTAATGGAACACTTTATTCACATGTCAAACATATATGTCAACCTAGGACTTTACTTTTCTTACCCAAAGTGAGAAGTAAAATTAATCATCATGGATTCATGGGGACCCAAAATTATTGTGGTTGCGCATAAGATTAAGAGTAGTTTTGTAGTTAATCTTCACACACTGTTTAAAGATGAAAATAATTATGAGAGAACCTTAATAAACAAATGTACTCGTTTAGGACAAGGAAGCCCATGTAAATGATTTGATCACATGGAAGAAACATCATCTTTTTCTTCTTGATATGCTCATTGATGAATTCAATTTTGTTCTTAATAAATTTGAGATCGATTAATTGTCATCGTGTGTGATTTATCGTTACTCTAAATTCAAAACAACAAGATCTTTGCGACTTCTTTCCAAATTTGGAAACGTTTTTGAAGAGTTTCAATTTTCGAAACGTGTCCAAGATAGAAACAATAACATGTTAGAGATTTTATTTTTATTTCCACTCCGCCCGATTTATTTTTGAATTTAAATCCAAAGTTAATTTTAACATGTATTCTAATTTCTTATCTTATCCATTTTAATATAACAACAACTCCAACTAATAAAATAAAACCTGGAAGGATAAATCCCCATTCTTTTTATACTCCATGAGACAGACATTATAGCATTACATTTCCCTGAAAATCTCTCTCAAGAATTGGCTTCATAAAAGAGAGAATGTACAGACCTCAAAGAGAAAGCTTTATAATACAAATAGGTGGTGAAAGTGGCATTCAGAACTCAAAAACTAGGGTATTGAATTTCTCAGGCATGAAATTCTTTGATCGCTTCCGCAAGATGTTAATGAAGTTCATCTTCTCCACTGGCTCTCGGGCGGCACCGGAGGTGGTGCATAGGCGGCGGTCTTGTGATCACAGACCTGACCCTCCCAAAACTTCTTGCAGCTCAACATACTACTCCTCGAATTCACACTATAATGAAGCCATTGCTGATTGCATTGAGTTCTTTAACAAGTCATCACAGGATGGGATTTTTGGCTCTGGAAAATCAGATCTTGTGGTATGATTTTATTTAGATTGTACACAGCTATCTGCAGTATATGGGAAGACAGGTTTGCGCATTTTTTTTTTGAATCTATATATTGGCACACTTTTGTATGTATATTTGAAGAAAAATTTCCTTAACCAGTCCCAATGTATTGTCCGAATAGCAAATTAGTGTATCCATTTTAAAAGGAAGGATGTTGCTCATCACCTTTCCTTATGGACAAGTTTTTGAGTCACCAACTCAAGTTAGGAAACAAAACCTAGTTTCAAAAGTTTGACATTTGAAACTCATGTGACAATTTAGTAGAGATTTAACAATTTTTGTCGTTAAAAACTGATTCAGTAATATTATAATGAAAGGCGGAGACCAACAGTGAAATTTGAGGACCAACTTGCTACTGATGATAATATAAATGAGGACTAACTTGCTACCGGGATAATAACTGGAGACCAACAATGAAATTTCCCATATTTAATTAAATATTAAATCCATAAAAGAATTATTATCCACATTCTTAAAAAAAAATTCATTCTTTCGATATTTATTTTCAACCACATAATCTTCAATAAAATAATATTAAAGGCAAATCCAAAACTTTTACTTCTTTTTTAACTGCATATTTTTCATCACATTACTATTTAAAATGCATTATTTCCTTAAGAATGTGCATCGAATAAGGCCATAATAGTACTAACTACTATGTGTCTTTCACTACCAGAAAACATAAAGGACGGAATTATTATTACTTTTCTCTAAATGTCTAATTTTATCTCGTGCATGCATTTTGCGTATCTTGTAGGTCTACTAAAATAGCTTCATCTTATTTATTTTTGGTATATTGGGCTATAAACAAATGAAAATGAGAGAAAAAAATGTAGAGAATTGTCGGTCTATGCTTAAAGGTTAACTCATTAGGTGGAGTAGTTCAATCTCTTATAAACTTATTATCTACTCTATATATTTAACTAATGTTGAATTTTGTTTGCATTTTTTCAGCAATCCCTACTTTGAACAACATTACCCTCTTCAAGCAATAATTTATCCATCTCTCTTCCTCAAAAGAAGAAGGATAACATGTTATATCAATGATCAACTCTGTCATCGCATTAGGGCCGTTGCCTTAAGCGACAGCTATGAATATTCAAGTTTATCATGATCTAACTTGAGGCCCATCACCATCGTTCGGCTGCAATTGGATATCCATCTTATGCGTTCACGTGATTAAATTTAGGACCAAATTTTGATACCACTCCCAAGATATAAGAACTCAGTGTTTTGGTCCTTTTGGATCATCCTTCCATTAAGTAGCTATCCTCTCGTGAAGCCCCTGTCACACGGGCATGGTCAAATGACCAACTAAATAGATGGTCATAGACAAGCCTTTAAAGCTGGTCATTGATAAACTTTAGAGTCTGTTCAATGACCAACAATATAATTGATCATTAATCGTTCCTCGACCAGTTATGCTTGACCGCCATGAGGCCAGTTGATTGACTATCCTTAGCCAGATTGATGTCCCTCACATTCTACGGTCCAAACATGTGCTATAGGTATCCATAGATCTTAGCACCTCTATATTGGAATAAGCATCATATATCCAATGTATAAGGACTCGACAAGTGTTCGGAAATCCTCGCACGGTAGTACTTACACATGTTAACCCTTGACTTGTTTTTATCTAAATTAATCTACTAATTAATTAAAAACTTTGTTTTTATGAATGAATGGATGAATGTATTGAATTTATGAATCTACATATCTTTATTCTATTTTCAATTCTCAACCTATGTAATTAGTGATATTTTTGTGTTCCATGATAATCGATAATCCAATTACATATACCTATCTCTCATGAGGTAAATTAAACATATTCTAAACATGACTTGATCGTATTCGTAGACCAAATTCATATTAAAGTAATGCATTCATGAACACGATTATCAGTAAGATTGCACATACAATACATGTTATTCATAGCATCTATTACCCATGTGTTGAAATTGCAAAGTTCTAACCTATTATGAACTTTTCATCACCATAAAAGTAACTAATTATCTAATTGGTGACTAATCAATTAAATAATATAAAAAAAACACGCAACACAATCAAGAAAATACTAACTACTAGTCTTTCAATTAAGAATAAGAAAACATAGGTTTAATCTTCATCCAATACAAACAATAATTTCACTTAGCATGATTTCCATAATATTAATAGAAGAATAACGAAAAGATATCACCTGGAATATGAATGAATACAAGAAGTCTTAATCTTCAATTCCAAACTCCAAATTTCACGATTTTGATGTAATTAGCCTTCAATTTTTGTTAGATTTATTGCCTCTTTTCTTGATGAATTTTGTGATATGATGTGGTATGAAAATCTAGAGAGATCGTTAATGTTTAAACCTTCTTATGTATTTATATATGGTGAATTTAGGTCAAGAAATGCGTTCCATTTGGGTTCCAAAAGATATTGTATCACAAAAGAAAAATTGATCCCGTTTGTCAAAATTTGGCTCATGCCCACACTTGGTACTTCTGCTTGCCCACGCATACGCAAGTAGAATTGGTCTCAAGAGCAAAATATAAGCCCTTGCATGTGCAATCAGCATATGATTTTTTTTTTTTTAAATTCCTTTTGTCTTTTATTCTCGTCTAGTGGACTCCATATGATTTTCAATCCTAGTTTTGTGGTTTGAATTAATTATTGTATATTTGTAATTTAGTCCCCAATTTTTGAAAATCATTCGTTGTCGCCAATTTTTCATTTCATTCTTCCAATTTCACTTTCAATCATCAAGTTTTACCTGAAAAAATAAATACATGAGATTAAGCTATAATTTATCAAAAGTACTCTCAAATATTCATATTTAAAGGTCTAGATAATTGTAGAAATTACTCTTATCACTTCACATATATCCAATGTTTAAAGACTCAACAAGTGTTTGGGAATCCTCACACTGCAAAACACAAGTTAACCCTAGATTCAATGTTCGAGAGTGTGACACGTGTCTCGTGATCCTTACCACGTCTCCAAGATCATCTCCTATAAATATGTGATGATTCTAAGGCATTTCCCTTAAGCTTTTTCGGATACTTAAAACATCGAAAATACATTCTCAGTCCTCAAAACAAGACTTTTGATGATCCAATCTTTGTAAATATAATCACATATAACATGAAATAAATTACCCCAAACATGCTTGAAAGCTCTTGGACTTCACTATCCTAATTTTTCACAACGAAATGGCTGCAAATATATCTATACCAGTGATATGAGGATGCTATAATTCCTTGTGCAATGTGTGATGTTTGCTAAAAGTTGATAAAACATTGGAGAGTTAAATAAATGTATGGTTAAAAATAAAGTTTGATTACTCCTTTTATCAAACAAAAGCTTTAGCACGCAAGCAACTAGTAGGATTCACATATGTTGTTGCACTCAATATGCAACCTGTGCAAGAGCTCGTAGAAAATGAAATTGAGTTTCCAAATAATTATGTTTGGGAAAATCCTGATTTTGGAACCATAGATGCTTCTATTCCCCTTGGAGACATTCCAGTTATTGATATTACTCAATTGAATGGTTCAGGTCAACTTCAATAAGCTCTTAGCTCTTGGGGATGCTTTTAGGTTAAAAATAATCTGCTTTTTTTTTTTCCATTCAAATTATGATTTTAGATTAAAACTTAAATGAGTTGGGTTGGAATGGAATTTCAGGCAATCAATCATGGAATTGAAAATTCCTTTCTGGAAGAAGTATGTAAAGCTGCCAAACAATTTTTTTTAGCTTCCAAAGAGGGAGAAGAAAACATATGTAAGATAGAAAGGTGAATTTGATTGGTACGGCAATGATATGATTCTTTTCCACAATCGATTGTACCTTTCATTCATCCCACAAGATGAGAAAAAAAACGAAAATATTGGCCTCAAAATCCACAATCTTTTAGGAATTTTTTTTATCAATTCAAACAACTTTATAAGTTGAGTTTTTTTTATTTCAAGTAAGTTTGATGCGTAGACCTCATCGTTCTACATGAGGATATTGAATGAGTTAGCTACAAGGATACAATAAACAGAAATGCTTCTAAAGCCCATGGCAAGGTCACTGTGCTTAGAAAAGGACCGCTTAAGAAAATTGGCCAGACTAATTGATCTTGAAATTAAGCTAGCAGGTGCTAATACTGGTAGAATACGAAAGAATAATGAACAGAAAATATTCTGTGTGTATTGATTGAATTGTACATGAGGTAGTCTTTAAATAAAAATGGAGAAAAGAAATAATAATACAATTGTTTACAGCTGTTCACTAACAAAATCAGTTGATCTAACTAACTTTCACAATTCATTTCCACGTCAGCTTCTTCTTGTAGCTTCTTCTGGTAGTCTCAACAACCCCCTTCAAGATGGAGTGTATATGTTGCACACATTCATCTTGTACAATAAGGAATGAAATAGATATGCTGCCACTGGTTTTGTCATAATGTCTGCAAGTTGATTATTTGAAGATACATGCATAGTGTGTAGAACTCTGGCCTTAATCTTGTTCTTTACTACGTGACAATCTAGTTTGATATGTTTTGTTCTCTCGTGAAATATGGGATTGACAGCAATATGTAATGCAGCTTGATTATCACAATATAACAATGCAGGCTTCTCATGTTTGATCCCCAAGTCAGCTAGTAGGTATAGAAGCCATTGTACTTCGCATGTAGCAGACGCCATAGCACGGTTTTCAACTTCTGCCGAAGATCTAGAGACTATACTTTGCTTCTTAGATTTCCAGGATATTAAAGCATTTCCTAGAAAAGTGCAATATCCGGTTATGGACCTCCTTGAGTCAGGGCAACTGGCCCAATTTGAATCTGAAAAAAATCTGAAAATCGTAAGTCATTCTCTTTAGGGAAGAAAATCTCTTGTCCTGGTGTGCTCTTGATATATCTCAGTACCCTGTAGGCTGCATCTAAAGGAGGTTCCCTTGGTTGGTTCATAAACTGACTCAACACTTGAACCACA